TTTTCAGTTCATCTGTCCTGCAGCATCTCACAATATTCCTGTGTCCAGTGTCTGTTCTTTGAGGATGTTTTCTGAAAAAGTTAATTAGAGGTGGATCTCCTTTATAAACAAGCTCTTTTTCAGAGATCACCACAACACTCACTTTGCTTTTCTTCAGATGGTGAAGGTTTATCAGCCCCACCCCCCTTAGTTACTATTGATAAGTGAGTTCATAACAATGAAACATAACAGTAAGTAATAAAAAGAAATGAGTCTCACTTCAAAACTAGAGTTTAAAAACAACAATCATGATTATTCTATTAAGTAAAAATGAACTAAGATTTACAGACATGTACTGTTCAGTTCTCAGAAATCATTAGGTCTTCTCTGAAGGTCTAGAAGGTTCTGAGGGTTCCTCACTGTGTAGAACTCATTAGCTTTGGATGCAGTAACTCATAAATACAGTCGTTGGCTGGATCTGCGTTTAAGCTGGTGAGTGGTGCCCTCTTGTGGATCATTATGATGTGACACCCAAACTCAGCCTGTTTAAAATGCTAACAGAGCTTCCTTAGATGATTCTACAACACTGACCAGTTACTGATCAGACTCATGTGTTTGTAATATTGTGTTGTATTTTGTCCACTGACTGATACATGAGACTCTACAGACTGAACTGAGAGCTGAGTAACAGTCAGGAATGATGGGAAAAAGCCATGTAGCTGTTACAGAATGACTTCAGGAGGATTTTATAAAGTGTACAGTGCGCCCTCTATCGGTCAGTATTTGAACAACAAGCACAATAAACTATAAAGTAAGCAACAACAATTATGTGTTATTTCGTAATCAAATTATTATTATTATTATTATTATTGTTATTGTTATTATTAGTAGTAGTACTTGTACAACAGATTTATTCAAGACGTCTTAACTGACCAATCAGGAACAGAGGGAGATGAAGATCTTCAGGAGCTTCAGTTCTGAACTCAAACGGTCAGTGATGAATCAGCTTCCTCTGTAGAGTCAGACTCTCCACTCTTTCCAGGGTCATCCAGTTCATCCCTCTCTACAGTTATTCTTTAATCTACACAGAGAAGAAGGAGAACAACAGAATTTATGGCTCAGGATGAAGTAAAACAGGTGAACATTCAGTGAACACACTCAGACTTAAATAAATAAAATAAATAAATAAATATCATTTTTCATTAGAAATGAGTTACAGTATTTTAAGTTTTAGGGCTTTATTAGTCAGAAGGGGACGGGGCTTTAGAACAGACTGAAAATGGCTGCTCCTTTATTTTCCATAGACACATCATGGCACTGAATTATGTGTTGGCAGATGGTTGATGCTGTTCTCAAGGCCGATACAAAGGTGAAGAAATCTTCATGGAGCAGATAAAACTAAAACACTAACAGATGCAGAACATAAACAGATGGTCGACATCCTGGTAGCAGATGTGATTAAAACACAAGAGTGAGAAATTCAGCTGAATTGAAATATTTAAATGAATGAAAGTGGTGAAGAGCTGTTTAGTGCAGAGTGCAGAGAAGCTTTAACTACAAAGAGACTCAACAGACGAGTCTGTGGTCAAAGAGAGAAAAGGCAGAAGCTGCTTCATCACAACAACACATCAGTTTCGGTCTCGTTTCCTTGACATTCCTGGATTGGTGAGAAAATCCAGCAGGAATATTAGATGCTCTACACCTTTTTATGAAGCATGCTGAAGCGGCCTGTGTATTGAGGCATGTATGGAAAACCCTCTGACACAAGACGGTCCTTCTCTGCAGTGAACGTTTCCAGAAAACCATGACCTGCAAGACTCAAACATCAGTGGCAGCTTCTGATGAGTGTTCAGTCTTTCCTTTGATGAAGTTCTTTACATTTTCTATATTTGTTCAAACCATCATTAGATGTAGGACAGTGCAAATCAGAGCCCACATGTTAAGGACTTTTAGAGCTGCAGTGCAACAACTGAACTGAAAAATATTAATTTATGTATTTTATTTTATTTTTGATTTATGTATTTTTATTATTCACGTGTTGTGTTTGTGAAATGCAACACAACATTGTAACTGTCTTTATCACAAACATTCTGACAGGGATGGTGATAAATACACAACCAAACATTAATTTACTGGATTTTTGGGTGTTTTGGCTCCATCTGAGGAATTATGGTGCTAAGAACCAGGTTGATCTGTTTAGAGTTTTTTGTGATTTCTTAGGCTTGATTTTGAACATGGGGCTCATTTTGTCCAACTACTATACACGCAATTTACACAGCCACACACACAAACAGCAGAACGCCTCAGATTGTATGCAAAATAAAACACTTCATTCAAAACTATATAATCATTTATAAAAACCCAACTTTGTCACTGTATTGTGCACACAGAGTTCATATGATCTGATTCTGTTTGAACCAGTTACACGCTGCAGTGCTCAGTCTAAAACATCTTAAACATTTCTGCTTTTCTAATAATGAAGTCTGGGTTTGATTTTATTCTGAGATATTATTAGTAAAATGTATGAACAGCCAAACACAGCACAGAAGATCAGTACTGCACACTGACAGTGTTGGGCAACTTTAAAAAAGTAGTGGTGGCTGAATACTGAATACACTTTCCAAAAAATGTACAGTAATGTATTCCATTACAGTATATACAATATACAATATATAAGCTAACATATTCAGAATGCATTTAGAATACATATTGATATAGTTCATTGGGAAAACACTGTAATTTTTTTTACAAATTCACATTGTCCTTGCTGTTGCTTGTTAACAGTTTTCTTCCTGTAGTCTTTGTGGAAAATTTACTTATCATTTAAATGAAGACCTTTTTTCTTTCCCAGAAAAGGTCTTCAACAGTCCACTGCTCCCAGAATCCCCTGAGAAGGACTCCAGTACAACACCAATGCTAAGCTTATCACTTACAAACATGTCCACTACTGAGGAGATTATTAGTTTAATCAGCCTACAAAAGAGCTCAGTAACACTGAGATTAATAACTGATCATCACATTGATTTATCAGTCTACTCAGGCTTTAGCAGAGCTCAGTAACACTGAGATTAATAACTGATCATCACATTGATTTATCAGTCTACTCAGGCTTTAGCAGAGCTCGGTAACACTGAGATTAATAACTGATCATCACATTGATTTATCAGTCTACTCAGGCTTTAGCAGAGCTCGGTAACACCGAGATTAATAACTGATCATCACATTGATTTATCAGTCTACTCAGGCTTTAGCAGAGCTCAGTAACACTGAGATTAATAACTGATCATCACATTGATTTATCAGTCTACTCAGGCTTTAGCAGAGCTCGGTAACACCGAGATTAATAACTGATCATCACATTGATTTATCAGTCTACTCAGGCTTTATCAGAGCTCGGTAACACCGAGATTAATAACTGATCATCACATTGATTTATCAGTCTACTCAGGCTTTAGCAGAGCTCAGTAACACTGAGATTAATAACTGATCATCACATTGATTTATCAGTCTACTCAGGCTTTAGCAGAGCTCAGTAATACAGAGTTTAATAACTGATAATCACATTGATTTATTAGCCTAGTAAGACTTTAGCCGGAATAAGTTTCGGTAAAGAAACTGTTAATTGAGGTCGTCTTAAGGGTTCATCTAAAGAGCATGTTTGCTACATGCTGTGTGCAGATCTAAAAAGAAGCATCAACCGTGTTTCTTTTGAAGATTTTCCTCTTTTTTTAATTTACAGGGAATGTATTCTAAAAACATTTTCCTAAAATGTAAAGAGTAACTGTATTCTGCCTTTACAAAATGTAACTTGGACTGAATACAGATACCTTATTTCTGTACTCTAAATATGTATTCCCAATACTTGTATTTCATTGCACCCCAACCCTGCACACTGTTCTCCACATTGGAACATCAGTCTATACATCTATGCATTTCCAAAGGCTGCATTTTGCACTAAAATTCAGAACAGAACATTTTCTAAATAGAATATATTACAAAAACACGAAAGAAAACAAGAAAAAAGAAAGCATGAATAAAAAAAAACTCACCTGTTACCTTTTTACAGTGCTTATGGGTGAGTTTACAATTAATCACCTGTGTGTGTACACAAACTTTTTAACTTAATTTAGTCTTAGAACAATAGTGTGGAGTATCTTACAGTGAATGAGCTGCACCTCTGCTGTATTCTGGATCAGCTCTCTTACCATATTTCCTCACCAAGTGCATCATTCAGCTCTCAGGTCCAAAGCTTCTTTAAGGAGACTTGTATTCACAGGTAATATGAAGGAGGAGACAGTGAGAAACTATGTCTGGAGTCAGAGTGAAAGAAACGGCTCACATAGTGATTTAGTTGTGACCTGGAAAATGTTCTCTTGAATATAAAGAGTAATTTGCAGGTACTGAGAAAGACTAAATTTTCCAAGTTGTGTGAAAGAAACTAACCTGTTATCTACAAAGAGGCAGTCTATGCATTTTAGTTCTCTTTCTTTGCATGTGAAAGCTGCACCACCTAATTAGGATGGACAAATAGGTGATTATGCAAAATGAAGTGAGTGGAGTGGAGACTGATGATAATGAAGCTCTTTATCTGATTTAAAATTCCCAGAGTTCTTAGTACAAGACTGCTTCATATCAGGTAGTAGAAGGTTCTACCTTTGAGTAAAGTAAAACTGGAAGAGAAGATTTTAACTGTAGAACAGCTTAATTTTTACCACAATGATGACGTACTGAGCAGTGTCTCACCTGGAACTCATCATAGCCAATAAGTAACAGTTCTAGCATTGGCTGATCAGTAACAGGGCCTAAACACTGGAAAACCTCCAGACTACTGTAGATTTTTATAGGTGAACTTTAAAATGTGAGCCCAGACAAACAGTAAGACAAATGCATTTAACTTCAGTTTCTGGAAAAAACAGAATAACATTGATATAACTAACCCAGTAGAGCTTGATTAACCTTGACAGTTCTATTTGTCTTAAAATGAAGGATTGTATGAAGAGAAATCAGTCTTGTTCATCATCTTCATAGACAAATATTCACTTTATTTGACTCAACACTCAGTAACAGCCAATACTTAGTATTCTCTGTAAAAGAGAGGGAGTGAATACAGATGAGTACAGAAAATAAAAACGCATAAATAATGTTTTACTGACATTAAAAAGTTTCTACCAGGAAAGAGAAAGAAACAGTAATCACTGCTTCTTGACAACAGCCTTGAAACATGCAGAACTGTATTAAAAGAACAGCTGATCTTAGACAAGAAGATGTTTTTGCTCATTTTCCTGAAAGCAGTTTAATCAAATCTCTGCCTGGACAAATTGCTAGACGTGTCAGACTGAAACTGTAAGGTAACGTAGAGATCAATAAACAGGGTTTTGTGTTAACAGGACAGCAATACAGCAAATTCCCATAAAACACTTAATAAAACACAGAATATATACACAGTATAAACAATATCTGATTTTGTGAGAAAAAGGTAAGGCCCCATAGTGTGAGAAATACAAAGCTTCAATCTTCAATAGCAGCCAGACAGAGTAGGTACATTTCAGTCCATGAGCTAACGGTAAATATTATGTTTGCACCCTCATGGAATGACACTGACATTGTGAAAACAATTCCACCAAAACACCTGTGTTCATACAGTCCCAAAATCCATTCAAATGGAAAAAGTTGATTCAAGTATATGATCTTTGAAGTTATTATTGCTGACAAATATACAGCAGAGTTATAGTATTTTAGTACATATCAGTGAAGATCAGTGAAGTCCAGTATATCTGCCTATATACAGTATATGTTACATGTTCTGAATCTTTAGGGTTGTAATTTTTGTTAATCAATGTAACAGAAAATCACTGTCATGATAATCTAATGCCATCACTGCATCATCACAGTATCACCAGATCTCAAAGCGCCGGTCTGAGAGGAAACGCAGTCTTTCTGTAATTCTGTTGCTGAAGAGTCTGTAGAGACAAAACATACGAACACACACAATCCTTTAGTGTCTACTAATAGATCCAAACTGTAACAAACACTAACATAGTGCTGTAATACACTGCCTGGCCAAAAAAAGAGTAATAGTTGTAATATTTCGTACTTCCAGCCAGAGTTGCATTAGTTTTTGGCCGAGATCTGGTATTGATAATGGGAGAGTCAAACCATTACGTAAAGTCTTCTCTAGAACATCCCAAAGACTTTCAGTGTGGTTAAGGTCAGGACTCTGTGGTGGCCAATTCATGTGTGAAAATGATTCCTCATGCTCCCTGAACCACTCTTTCCCAATTTGAGCCAGATGAATCTTGTCATTGTCATCCTGGAATATGGCGTGTCATTAAGGAAGAAAAATCCATTGATGGGATAACCTGGTCATTCATGACATTCAGGTAGTCAGCTGACCTAATTTTACTGCCACATAATGTTGCTGAACCTGCCCTGACCACTTAAAACAACCCAGATCGTAACACTGCCTAATTGCTTTATGCGATTTGGTCAGATTTTTGTTCCCTGATGGAAAAAGCATACTCCAGGACGACAATGCCAAGATTTATCAGGCTCAAATCGGGAAAGAACCCAAGTCCGGTAACATCAGCAATTTCCTAGCTGGTTTCTTTGCTTGATGTAGGCCAATAATTTGACTCGTCTGAAACACAGTAACGTCTTTTCCACAAGCACAGGACACGTCTTCAATATGGTTGTTTAAGAAATTAGCTACTCTCTGCATCTGTCAGGGTTGAAAGAATTGTTGCCAGCTGAAACATTAATCACTGCAGTAATTATCCAATCTAAGGCTCTTGAGTATTTGCTCATTTTAATCCAAACGTTAACTTTGTGGCCAGGCAGTGGACATTAAACTGTAACAAAACACACACACTTACCGAACAGTCTGAATGTTGCTGTTAGTGGAGACAATATCGTAGATTCTCTTTGCTGAGACATCAGTAAGGTAATTGTCGCTGAGACTGAAATGAAACAGATTATAATTACCACACCTTTACACAAAATCACTAACAATAAATTCTTATTTTGTACTATACGAGGCACTAAATAATTACGTTGCTACTTATACATTTCACCTTTTAAACACACTATATAGCTATACTGTATATGTATATAAAGCATATTTGTACTATATTGATCAATTTTAATTTCTCATTCATTTTACAATTAGACCCTCCCTCCCACATCACTCACTCCAGGATGTTGATTTTGTGCAGGTGTGGAAGCAGCAGATCCAGGCAGTGGTCAGTGAGCTGGCAGTGGCTGAGGTCCAGTTCTGTCAGCCCTTCAGAATGTTCCAGAACCAGCGCCAGTGACCTGCAGACCTGCAGGTCCAGCTGGGTTTGACTGAGGTCCAGTTCCTCACCCAGAGCCTGAGATAGAGCCACAACACGCCTCACACAGTCCAGCTCAGTCCCCACAGGGACAAGAGACAGAAACTGAAGCAGCAGAGCTTTACTGCAGCTGAGACAGAGACAATATTCACAAACACATACAGTTAAGAAATTACACATTAATACACTCACATACAAATCAAACTAAAATGATTTTGCACCTATTTTCTCATGTTACATATTCATTCATCTTTTCTAGAATGTATATATAGTGTTTGTGGTGTTCTCAGTGAGAATCTTACTGCAGAGTGACTTTGTGTAAAATGGTGAAGAGCTGCTCCACTCCAGTCTCCTCTATCTCACAGTCCTGCAGAATGAGCTGTGTGGGGGTCCGAGCTCTCTGGATGGTCATGGAGATGACTCTGCAGTCCTCACTGCTCAGAGTGTGTGTCTGTGTGTGTTCTGTAAGGTCCAGAGTGGAGCTGCAGGAGAAGTCCAGTCTGTGCTGCAGAGCAGAGAGCAGAACTGCTGCTGCCCCCTGCTGGAGCACAGAGACACTGCAGCAACGGAGCAGCCTCAGCAACAACATCCTGTCAACACTGACACACACAAACACACACATTCACAGTCAGTGACAGATAACTGACAATGAATAAATTCATTTTTCTTAAATAAAACAATGAGTGGGCGTATTGAGAACATAGGTGGGCTAAAAGACGACAAGTGACGACTTTAACCCCAGTACAGACTTCTCATGTTTTCTGTTCTTTATTTTATTATTTTAAAATAACACAAACTTGTTTTGCCGTTTTAAAGGAGAGATTAGTCTTCCGTTTAATCACAAGGCTTATCTATTTAGATTCAGGCAGACTTCCTGGGGGCTTTTCTCCTATATCATTTAGTTCAACTTCAACTTTCTGGGCCAGTCCCGAATGGTGCATTCGCAGTCCTGCAGTCCCCAATCATGCATGCACTGTGAGGCTGTAGGATGTCTCATTTCTCATTTTGGTGATGAAAGGGGTGCTCACTAGCGCCCTCTATGCAGCTTTATGAGGACAGCAACAATGCAGACTCTGCAGCAGCCTATTACCCAGAATTCCTTGAGATACATGCAAGGACCAGTCAGAGTGAACGGTTTTGTTTACAGCTGACCAGCATTGAAAAGAGGAAGATTTTCAAATGCAAGTAAAAAATGTGTTTGTTTATAAATTTAACATGTTAGAATTTATAAACAAACGTGAGCTGCATTATGCTAGTAATCTGAATTGAGCCTCTGTAGATAAACAAATTAATTTATTTAAAAGAAGTATTAAAAAAGTCCCAAATGCATGAATTTAAACTAAACACCCTCAAGGTTTCTTGCTCTGTAGGTCTGCATGTTGCTGATGTCACCAAAGTGTGGACTTTGAGGAGAACTGCAGGGCTTAGGGTGCCATTTAGGACTGGGCTTCTATTGGTTTACTATGGTCTGTTAAACAGTATGAAAAGCCCAAACCTGAGATGGGAGACGTGGCTGAGTAGAGGCACAATGCTCTCCAGCTCCCCCTCTGGTATGGAGGTCCACAGCAGGCTGAGAGAGACTGCAGTGCAGTGCTGGAGGGTGAAGCGCAGAGCAGCACAGTGGACAGAGTCCAGCTCTCTGCTGTTCAGGTTGATGCAGTTCTTTATTGAACACAACAGGCTGGACACACAGTGAGCAGAGCCAGTCTCATAGATCTCTCTTATGATGGGCAGCACAAAGCTGGAGGTCAACCTGTGCAAAGGACATACTTATTATACTCTAATTCTGTCATTCTAAAAATGATGGTGTTTTGATTTCAGTATCGCATCTATATATAATATAAAAGACTTTAACAGATGCTGTGCTCCTCTACACATTTCTGTGTTTCTCTTACCTTCTGAGCTGAACTCTGTCCAGTACAGACACAAGTTCTCTGATGTTCTGCTGTTTAATGTTGCTCTTCCTAAAGTCCACAGTGACAGTGTGATACTGCAGGAAATAGTGGATCAATTCCCAGTTCAGAGAGCAGGAAGTCAGATCTCCACCCACTTTCTGTAGGAAACCACGAGTGAGCTCCTCATCCTGAGCTTCATTCACCACAACAACCAGCTTCTGGAGACGTTTATTAGATAACCTACATACACACACACATACATACACACACACACACATACACACACACACAAAGGACACAAACATTATGATTATTTTAATGGTCCAATGAATATTTATGTAGGTAAAAGAAAATGCAACAAAAAACTCAGAGACCTGATGGTCAGAGAGCCCTGGTGACACAGTAGGACAGTGAGAGACTGAACCTCCATCGTGTGTTCAGTCAGGTTCAGACACTGGACATTCCAGAGTCTCAGGAGAGAAGCCAAGCTGCTCAGGACTCTGGACAGCTCCTTCTTTGACTGCTGTGTTGTGCTGTGGATGAGTGAAAGCTCCTCAATCGTCACTGGAACAGGAGCTTTCGCTGCTCTCAGCGCTCGCACTGTTCTCATCACCATAACACCACTCAGCCTGAAACACCACAGAGTAGAGAAAAACACTGTTAGACAAATTAGCAATAATTAACACCTGATTGTTACCAACATGGCAGTGTGGTCTGTCACACTGACATAACAGACATTGGAAAGCATTTAATATCTGAGCCAACCCACATTCACTTCCTTTTAGGTGTAAAAACCCTTCATACTACAATAGCTGAACAATAAGCGAAGAATCAACTCTCTACAGAGTATACCTGAGAGTGTGTAGGTGTGTGATGTATCTGAAGAGATGTCTGGTTCCTCTGAGAGAGATGGCTTGTGGGTTTAGAGTGAGTTTGAGGTTGGAGGCTGAGAGGCCCAGCACTCTCCCCAAAGCCCTGCAGCTGGAAGTGAGTAGCTTTCCTTCCAGAGACAGAGTGAAGTCCAGAGCCTGGAGCAGAGGAGCCACCTGCTCTGTTTCTCCTCTGGAGTGGAGCACTTTACACGCAGATGGCACACACTGCTCAGCACCACTGAAACAGTGAAATAAAATACTTATAAACAAGAAAACACTTTGTAAACAACTAAACATGCATTTTCCTTGTTTCAAAATAAGTTCCATTTAAAAGAACCACACATTTGTGAACTTTACATGAAATAAATGTGAGTAACCTACTTTTTAAAAATGTTTCCTCAGACTGAGAACTTGTCTCAGTATGGAGTAAATCTCAGCATGGAGACAAAATCTAATTTCTAACATAAAACCTCAATGGTTTTATGGCAGATTGTCATTATTATAAAAATAAACACAAATAAAAAACAACCACTCATACTGATACACTCTGATACAGAATAAAACTGGAGAACCATAGAAAACTCCTCTGAAGGCCCAATATGTTAGAGGAAAAAAGTGAAGTGATTCTCATTAATATCACCTTAGCACTTTTTTTGTTTGCATTTTACTCTAAATCGTTTTTCAGTTCCACTTTTCGTGTTTATGGTGGAAATGCAACTCTGCATAACCCTGCATAACCCTGCAACTACCTAGCAAACAGTTCCACAAGAAGCTTTTTTCTGCTGAAATGATGGAATCTCCTAATATTGTCGAAAAATTGTTAACGATGCCATTTTCAAGACAGATATTCAATGAAAAACTGGATACTGTAAGAAAAGGCCGACCAACACCTCATCTTGAGTTTTTTACTCAGGCACTAACCTTAACCCTAACCCTAACTAGGAGCGTTACCCTTGGCTTACTGGTTCGGTACAACATAAAAGGTTGTTTTGTTGGGACTATTAGCTGTTTTACACTGAGACCAGTGTGTGGACTAATACAGGATTTAACAATTTAAGCTGCTTCACCAAAAACATAAAAATTCTGCAAGTCATCTAAAAGTGGAAGTTTCTTCGAAAACGTTTGAAGATACAAGAATTGATCTTTTCATTGATGATTTCTTGATGAAATCTGCTAAAAACAACTGCCACAAGTGGCACTTCCCAGATGGAATTTGACTACAAAACTAATGTGCTCTGGCCTTGAGAAGAAGGATGCTCTACAGGCAATGTTTAATTACATCGTTGAGCATCTTGAGGAATTTGAACATGATGCTGTACACAGTGCTGAGGCTACTTATCACTCCTGGAAAACTTTGAGTTCAGCTTTTTTTTGTGACCTTCAAAGACATTTTTGGCCATGCAGATGTACTCTGACATTTAACAAAGTAAGAGTTTTGACATGCACTTTCGTTTGGCTGAAATGGAGGAGTTTTGCATTTTTATGGAGCAGCAGAGGAGACAGTTTCCTCCACTGTCGCATCATATGTTTCATCTGTTTAACATCTTCCTTTAATGCAATATACTCAGTGAGAGCATGCACCAGCTATATTTACTGAGCAGTTTAATTCTAACTATTCCAGTTTTAGCTGCTGTTACGATCCTGGGGGTGTATGGTGTTATTTTTTTTTTTTGTAATCACTTTTCCCCTAGGATTGGGGGCGCACCAGTTACTTAAGGGCAGTTGCGGCACTGCAGGAGAAGGAGAGGGCTGTTCCAGTGGTCACATCTGTGCCATCAGCCTCGACCTGACCAGACCAAGCACCTGAACCTTTTGTGAACTCATGTTATTGTTGTATGAGTTTGCCTAAATACCTGTAAAGCTCTATTTTTCTAAGTAAGGGGGTGAGTGCTCTGTTTTTTTGTATATTGTTTTCTCATGGTTTGGGACAGGGAGGTAGTCTTATAATTGCAATTTTGTTTTGAGTTAGATTAGTTTAGTTATCTTTTGTTTCTAGTTTGTTTTGACCTTATCTCACCCCCTGAAATGTATCTTTTGTCATTTGACTTTTGATTTTAAAACTAGACTTACCAGCTTTTATAAGATGGTGCCTTTAACTTGTTCAAGTTAAAAGAAATAAATGCTGATAAGTGGTCAGTCATTTGTAGTTGGTGGTGTCTTGGTCTGGCAGTTGGATGGTGTTGGCTTGTTTTTTTTAATGTCATGACATAAGAGGTCGTAACACTGCTTCTGTGGAAAGAATATTTTCTGCTCTCAAACTCTCATGACTTATAAGACCTATATGAGGAACACACCAGGACAGTCCTGACTATCTGCACTGGCTTCAGTCACTATCAAAAGGGAACTTTGTTTGGAAGTGAAAGGCGATGAGCAGCTGTATGATCTAGTCATAGACCAGTTCGATCAGAAGAAAGGAAGGATGGATTTTGTTTAAGTGAATGACTATGGTGAGTTTAACTGTTTCTGTTTTTTTTATTATTAGCATTATGATAGGACTGTTAGACATGTTATAATATTTTAAGGTTCTGCTACCGGCTGCGCTCCCATTGGAGTTTGAAAGTGGGCATGCAAAAAGAGCCATTAGAAAAGGCTCATGGTAGGAGTGCCCCCCCCTCCTTTAAGTGACCATTGTTGTTGTTTATGTTGTCGTTTGCTGGTTTGAGATGTGTTTTATGTGGTCAGTTAATGTGTGTTAGTGTTTATCTTTAAGAGAAAGCATACGGCTAAGAGTGACCTGCCTTTATTTCAGTTGGTTTTTTTTTGACTAAGGGAACAGCGATACGCAAGTGTCTTTGACATTACAGTGATTTTTATTTACACAATGTCCAGTGAGGACCCAGGCCCAATAAGTATAGGCCGCCACTGGAATAAACCTTCACACTCACCTCAGCCGGGAGATGTAGGGCAGACACTGAAGGAAACTCCTCACTTCACTCTCTTCATCTGACCAGCCTGTCAGCTCTACTGGTTTCTTCTCTGTTTGGAGTTTCAGCACTTCTAGGAAGAGGGAGCTCTTTCTCTCTGAGAGGTTTATGATCCAGACTGCAGGAGCTGACTGGTAAACTGGCTGTAATGCTGGAAGAACACTCCTGCCTGTCTGAGTCTCATAGTTCTTCACATGTGAGAACAGATCCAGCAGAAACTCACTCTGCTCAGAACGATGTGCATCTCCAAAAGGAAAGGAGCTGTAACTGCACACTGATGATAACAGCTGCAGTGTCCTCTCTCCTGTCTGTATCCCACTCTCTGCTGCTTTCATCAACATATCCATAAACATCTGGATCGTTTTCTTGATATCAGACCAAACAAACCTACAAGAAAAAGAGTAAAAGGACATTTAGTGATGAACACAGTCAGTGTTATGCAGACATTGACCAAGAATAATAAAGCCATCAGGTAAAGGGTTTTGTTTTGCTCTGTTTATATGTTGCAATAACAGTCTGTTTTTTGTGACATACAGGTGAAGCAAATACCGTCGGAAGAATTCCAAATGGTATATCACCAAATCCTGTTGCCCTCCCTCGAAAAACCTAGCATTACTGATTTTGCAAAGAGCACTGTTAGGCCCGAAACATACTCCACGCAAGGACGCGAACGCAGACACTTCGAGCTACGCAGATGGGGGTTCACGCGTAGTTGCGTTCAAAAATGTGTCACGACACATTTCATAACACGACGCAAGCGCGAGCTGCATTCTGAGCGTCACAGCAAGGGGCGCTGTAATGACAGCCAAGCCTGACCAAGCGGTCTTTTACCACCAGCGTGCTTCACAACTGCCATAGCAGACGACCACTTAAGTCTTACGCAAAGATGGCATAAAAATATGATTAACTATTGCATTTCCAATCCAAGAGAAGAGGTAAAGCAGCTCACTCTCCTCTACTGTCCATGTTTAGCCGTTGAGGCTGCTGGAATAACAGTAGATCCCTCTCTGATCTGTACTCTATCACAACCTTAAGTACCGAGTGTTTTAACCTCCACAGCAACGTAAGGACGCGTGGTGAGTTTGTACAGAAGGACCGAGCGTTTGCAATTGATATGTGCGTGTCTGAAATTGCTTCATGGTATCAGTATTCTCTATTAACGATACTGATATTGTATTTCAGTACAAGTATCGGCACTGATACTGATACGGTTTCAGTTGACCTGCAACCCTAGTTAATGCATAGATAGGCTACTTTACATTTGATTGACTTAAATATTAGGAAAAAAATAGTAATTGTGGCACATGCAAATGTTTGGACACGCTCCAGTTGTAAAGTCTCAGAACTTAATTAAATTGCTAGGACTGGTCAGGCAGTCCAAACACTGTCACTGGAAATCAGCTGATGACACTTTCAGAGGGTAATACATTTTCTGACTCTTCAAACCATGTGCAGACACCATGGGCTCCTCTAAGCAGCTGGCTGAATGTCTAAAAATGAAGTTAATACTTCTCCTACAAAGCAGGGGAAGGATATAAAAACATAACAAAATGCTTCCAGCTTTCAATTTCTACAGCTGTAAATGTCATAAAGAAATGTCAGCTGTCTCATTTTCATAAACACTGGAGTCAGTAATCAAAACTGTGTAAATGAATAAAACCACATCTCACCTGTGTTAACACAATTCACCATTCACCACAATGTGTAATAAACTCACGCACTGACTCAGGAACACTGACAGAAGAGGAGATACGGGAAGAGGTCGAGGCCAAGAAAGAAATATTTTAATGAAGATAATGTTTTCATTTTTTTTTCTGTGTATACATAACAAACTACAACAGTGTACTGCTGTATGTTTTCTTCTGTACTGCACACTGTAGAAGGCATAGAAAACAGCATTTGAGAAAATGCCTCCTTTTTTGAGGGTAATCAATATTTAAGTGATCAAACTATGTGATTTAAAAATGTAGAATGTTTATTCTGTGTCTGATTTTTGTGTGCTTAGATTTTGATAGAGTGGCATGTATTTTGTAGCACAGTATGCTACTCCATAAGTGTGTTTATATATCTGCTGTGTATGTTCTGACTGCACTATTTAAGCAACACAACACGAGAAGGAGTGTGTTATTGCGAAATAACATCACGGCTGTGATTTGGTCGCAGATCATCACAGCTGTGATGTTATTTGCGATAACACACGACCTCGAGTGTTCTATTGCTTTTATACAACAGTTAAATAAATAAAGTAAGAAATTAATAAACTGGGTCATGAACGCGGCGTTTAATATGTTTTAATGTTCGCAGTTCCTTCTGCCAAATTATAGTTCCTTAACAAGCAGCTTGTTGCTACGTCAGAGCAACGAGCTCTGCTCACTCACTGCACAGCCGGCAGTTCCTTACACTAAATTCCCAAACTGTCATCACCACTGAGCAAGCGAATGGCGAATGGTATTGGGTTCATTTCTGGCTGATTCCGGGTTGTAGACTCATCTTCAGAGTCTGACCAAATCGGCTGTCGGTCTAATGTGATCTTAAAAGTCTCCATTTTCTGTTTGTGGCAAAGTTAATAGTATAAACGTTCAAATGGCTTGAGCGTCTCCTACAGCTGTCAAAGTTGTTGCTTAGCAACGGCATCTCAGCAGAGTGATACAGTGTGAAAAACCTGTGATGTTATGGCGAAATAACAGCACAGTTAGAACGATTCTTAACCAATCAACTTGCATGGCCGGAACTTTTGAGAGGAGAGCTTCACCCTCTGACCCTCTTTGTTGATGTGTATGATGAATGTATTTTGTACACATATAATAAGTTTCAGTTTTTAACCTCACCCCGGGTTTAGCACTTGTGGGTCAGCTTGGACTCTATGAGAGTCATTGTTCTTCATCACCCCTGTCTGGTGAAGTGCTGACCGTATGTGGCTCTCCTCAGTTCAAACTTTGACCTAACACGCATCACCACTTAATAAAACCACCCCACCAATAAAACAGTGATAATCTCTTTAACAAAGCATCACATTCCACAATACAGTGGATACTTTAAACAAGCAAACATAATGTTGGCAATAAGTGTAAATAACTTACTACACAATGTGCCTTACTGTACAAACAGGGATTTATACAAGACTCAGTGAAGATCATAAATAGAGTTTTAACTAAACTCTGTGTAATGATTAAGTAGTGTAGTGAGTTGTGCCCTGGCTTTGCATGCTGGCGAATGGGGTTCAGATCCATATATTAATAATTTTGGCTGTCTTTGGAAAAACTGTTTTCACTATGTTTGTTTTTTTCTGAAACATGATTACTCTGCCTCTCTCTCTGTAAGAGTGTCTGCAATACATAGTAAATTAAATTAAGTTTAATTCATGTTCATGTTGCCCTTTTTTTCCACTCGAGCCCCTGACCCCCCAAACTGACTGGGGGAATCTGGTGAAGCAATATGATGTGTGTGGTGAGCCATTTTTGGACATCATAAACAGGGTGAAGCTCTTTAATTTTTTGTATTGTTCATCCTCTGCCTCTTTTTATCTCTGGTCTGTGTTGTTTTCGTGTTTGTCAATGTGTGACTTTTTATATTTCAAACAAGAAGCACAACTGAGTGGACAATTATGGTCAATTGTGTTTACACTGATGATGTTTTCAGTTCTAAGTTCCCAGTAAGAACTGTGCTATAGCACTAAGACCTGTATGTATGGTTTAAAAACAGTGCATCAGAAATGCAAATCGTGTGGAATCAGTGAGAATGTGTTGATGGTTGTGAAGACATTGTTCATGGTTCTGGGAGTTTAACACAGAGAACAGATTACTTGTGTTCGTTTAGTCACAGGGTTGATCCAGACGAGAAAAACAGTAAATAAACTGCACAATGAAATCCTTCGTTTAAACAAACTATGAAAACAGAGATGGATTCTGACCTGTACCACAACAAGACCTCACACTGACCTCACACACCGTTTTAAACAAAACTGCAAATCGCAGCATAGAGATAATTTGACATAATTAATGAAAAATCCAACATCTAATGTGAAATCTCATTGGTTTAGAAAATTCTGTCATGAACCACAAACTGTCACATTCTGACAAAGCATGATCCTTCACACTTAGGAGTGGGTGATATGGGAAACAATAATATATCACGATACTTTAAGACATTTTCACGATACACGATATGCATCATGATATTAAATCTCAGAAAAAGTAAATAAGTCGGAACGTAACATTATAGAATCTGAAGTGCCACATATAAAAATATTACAACAATGCTTTACAAACTGTGCTGCACTAAATCCAATTAAACAGGTCTAATTATGCTCACTTTGTAATAAAATGTAGTCAGTGTTCTTTATGCACTGGCGATATCCACGGTATGCATGTTATCTACTACACAGTCTAACTTTTATAATGCCTCTACTGACAGAAACCTTGGTGTCACCAGAAATAGAACAGCGCCATCCCATGGATTAAGACAGAAGAGCATTTTGGGTAATCTTATTTGTCTGACAAAGGGTTTAGCACGTTAAAAATCATAATTAAAAAATAAAATATCAAAAATGTGCAGCCTCTGTGTTGATAATGTTATTAACTCAAAATATTACAATTTTATACTGCATCAGTTTTTTTCCACACTCTTGGATTTAAAGTTGAGTTCTACTTTAACAGATGGTCACACTCACCTCAGCTGGGAGATATAGGGCAGACACTGAAGGAAACTCCTCACTTCACTCTCTTCATCTGACCAGCCACTCAGCTTTACTGGTTTCTTTACTGTTTGGAGTTTCAGCACTTCTAGGAAGAGGGAGCTCTTTCTCTTTGAGAGGTTTATGATCCAGACTGCAGGAGCTGACTGGTAAACTGGCTGTAATGCTGGAAGAACAGTCCTGCCTGTTTGAGTCTCATAGTTCTTCACATGTGAGAACAGATCCAGCAGAAACTCACTCTGCTCAGATCTGTGAGTATCTCTATAAGGAAAAAGGCTGTAAGTGCAGACTGATGTTAACAGCTCCAGAGTGTTCTCTCCTGTCTGTCTCTCCCACTCTGCTGCTTTACTGAACAGATCCAGAAAAATCTTTTTGTTTTTCCTGATATCAGACCCAAAATATAATCTGCAACAAGAAGAAGAGTAAAAGGATGTTTATAATGATGAACAGTCAGTGTGACCCTGACACAGGCAGAGAAAAAAATATTCTTCAAGTCTTCAAAAATACCATCTAATAGTAGAGACCACTGTTTGTGTCAAATGATAATACAGTGTAATTAATATCAAACAATTTCATTTCTAACATTTAACCAATTACGCTACATCATACTGACGTAGCAGACAGTACAAGTACCTTAGACTAGAAAACTGAATCATTGTTTTAAACCAGGGCGGCACGGTGGCGCAGTGGATAGCGCTGTTGCCTCACAGCGAGAATGGCCTGGGTTCGATTCCCTGCTAGGCGACCAGGGTCATTTCTGTGTGGAGTTTGCACGTTCTCCCCGTGTCTGCGTGGGTTTCCTTCGGGTACTACGGTTTCCTCCCACAGTCCAAAAACATGCATTTAAGCTAATTGGACATGCTAAATTGCCCCTAGGTGTGATTGTGTGTGAATGTGTATGTCTGTCTGTCTGCTCTGCGATGGACTGGCGACCTGTCCAGGGTGTATCCTGCCTTCCGCCCAATGACAGCTGGGATAGGCTCCAGCACCCCACCGTGACCCAGAAGGATAAGCGGTTTAGATGATGTATGTATGTATGTTTTAAACCATCTATGAAAACAGATCCATTCTGACATTTAACAGAGCAAGTCTTCACACTCACCTCAGCTGGGAGATGTAGGGCAGACACTGAAGGAAACTCCTCACTTCACTCTCTTCATCTGTCCAGCCTGTCAGCTCTACTGGTTTCTTCTCTGTTTGGAGTTTCAGCACTTCTAGGAAGAGGGAGCTCTTTCTCTCTGAGAGGTCTATGATCCAGACTGCAGGAGCTGACTGGTAAACTGGCAGTAATGCTGGAAGAACAGTCCTGCCTGTTTGAGTCTCATAGATCTTCACATGTGAGAACAGATCCAGCAGAAAATCACTCTGATCAGAACTGTGAGTTTCTCCATAAGGAAATGAGCTGTAAGTGCACACTGATGATAACAACTCCAGTGTTGTCTCTCCTGTCTGTATCTCACTCTCTGCTGCTTTACTGAAGAGATCCAGAAACATCTGCATGTTTTTCTTGATATCGGACCCAAAATATAATCTACAAGAAAAAGGGTAAAATGACATTTATAATGATGAACACAGTCAGTGTCACACTGACACAGGCCAAGAAGAAATAATTTTTTAATTCCTCACTAATGTCACCTAATAGTGAGGATCCCTGGTTGCTTTCTTAATCAAATGATAATGCAGTGTAATTAAAAACAAACACTTTGATTTCTAACAACTAGGGGTGGGGGAAAAACTCGATTCTTAGACGCATCGCGATGCAGACGTGAATGATTCTGAATCAATTCATACATGTCAAAAATTGATTTTCTAAATATTTAATTTATAACGTAATGTTGACGCAAAAGGTGGAACTTAGAAGTGCAGCGCCCGGACAGTCTGTGGCGGCACATAACAAAAACACTACTGGATGAGCGAGAAATCCGACCGGCTCCCTCTGCATTAAAGCCAGGTTAGGTCAGGAGTCACAGCCCAAATGTTAAGAAGAGCCATTTTGTCTTTTCAACAAAAATCAAACCACCTTGGGAGCCACAACATTTAATGTCCAGTATGTAATAATGTCCTATTAAAGGCTAAAAAATATATACGAGAGCGCAGATTTACTTTGCTCTGCTTTAAGCTTTAGCTACAGCTGCTTTCCTCCCATCTCCGCCAGAAAACTTTTCCTCAAAAGTAGATCAGTTTCTTGTAAAATGTCTCTCAACGTTTGACTGTTTTATGAGGCTGAAGTTGCTTATTATTGGCTAGCTTCTTGTTCGAATTTTCCCATTCCACCTTAAATTCTGCCTGAGGCGCCAAATGTAACTTCTGCACCATTTAAGGTGGAACGGGAAAATTCGAAAGAGAAGTTGACTTCATCTTGGCAGCTTTTTAGTGTTTGACAGTCTCTCACTGCAGATTTAACATACCAGGAAACCCAACTGTGCTGCTTATAAATGCGAATAAGTCCATTCATCTCCAAATGTTCGCCTTAAATCTCTGTCTATTCGTTCGCTACAAGCGAGGCGAGACTTCGTTGCTTTGTGACCTGCAGTCTGCACACCAGTTCTCAGTCATTGAGAACCAGGGCTATCGCGCTATGTTACACACTTTGGAGCTGAGATTCAGCGTCCAGTCTCGAAGATATTTTACTGACACAGCGATCCCCCCCCCACTCTCTACAACGAGACCAAAACCAAAGTTATAAAATCACTAAAGAAAATGGGTGGAACAGTTGTAACGTGCTGCGTGGACATCCATTACGACTGGATCTTATTACACCGTAACAGCGCATTTTATCGCAGATGAGTGGCAGCAGCGTCTCATGTGCTCCAAACAATAGCAGTGAATGAGAGCCTTCTAGTTCACTTGCCACATCACTTCCATTTGATTTATTAATAAAAGATATTGGAAGTAAATTCATTATGGATCATTACAAATACTTTGCTTTAAAACTACAGATTCTAAGATTCCCACCCCTACTAACAACTAACTAATTACACTGCATATCACTGATTTAGCAGATAATACATGCACCTTAAACACACTAGTCAATGAAATCATTATTTTAATACAACCATGAAAACATGCATTCCTACATAGATCACAATAAGACTTCACACTCACCTCAGCTGGGAGATGTAGGGCAGACACTGAAGGAAACTCCTCACTTCACTCTCTTCATCTGACCAGCCTGTCAGCTCTACTGGTTTTTTCACTGTTTGGAGTTTCAGCACTTCTAGGAAGAGGGAGCTCTTTCTCTCTGAGAGGTTTATGATCCAGACTGCAGGAGCTGACTGGTAAACTGGCTGTAATGCTGGAAAAACACTCCTGCCTGTTTGAGTCTCATAGTTCTTCACATATGAGCACAGATCCAGCAGAAAATCACACTGAGAATCAGTATTATACTCATTATCATGGTCATCAAAAGGGAAGGTTGAGTAGCTGCACACAGATGTCAGCAGTTCAGTAAAACTCTCTCCTGTAGCTGAATCACTCTCTGCTGCTGCTACACTCAGATTCAGCAGAAACTGGAAAGCAGACTGTTGTTTATTGTTTTCACGAGGAACAAAACAATGAAATCTGTAGAAATAAGAAGAAAAACATTGTAAGAATTAAGGATGAAGTATTAACTACAAATTTTCCTTTTGTAAGTGATGAACTTTGTTGTTCTCTCCAAAAGTAATCACAGCCTGTTTTAAATACAGTGAGCTGGACTCATAAAAGGCAACTTCAGATTAAATATGAGAGTAAAAGCCAACAGTGCAGTGATGTATTTTCTCATTCATAAACAAGGAATAACTGCCTGTGTGACTGTTTTCATTAAATGTGGTGCTACTGCACTTTTTCTCATTTGCATGAGAAGTGATGAAAAAAACCCTGAAAGAGTCTCACAGTGCAAGTCACTGTGGATATAATTATCTTTCCTATAATGTTTTGAAACGTGTTTGGTCAGCTGCATTTGTCAGTTATAAGGAGGGAGGTGACCTGCATGAGAAGAATTTTGGAGTGCATTATTACAGAATTCAATATAGAATTTTTTTTTTTTTGGCTTTGAATGTGGCTCAGCTAATCAAATCATAAAAACAAACACTGAAAAGAGGCAGAATTATGCTGCTCTGTTTATGCACTTTGCGGACTGAAGTTCTTGTTATATTTGACTCCATGTTAATAAAGTTCACAATTGTTTACCTTTTCTTTAAATTACTGCTGCATTTTTACCAAACGGTACTTCTACTTTTTCACAATCCACAGCTCTGATTGTTTGTTTTCTTTGCCGTATCATTTCTGTGTGGCCACCCAAACCAGCACTGAACATTAATAATTAATATGCATTAACATGTCAGTAATGAAATACCGGCAAGCTGATCACCACCATGGTGGATTTATGTTCACGACTTCATTACCACGCTGTAGATTTCGCACAATGAGTGCTCTAAACTCTAAACTCTGGAGGGTCAGTGCACACTCCAAATAAAAACCGTCCATTAATGTTAAGGCAGCTTCCCCAGAGCCACAGCGAGAACCTTACAGTGCCCAAACTCACAGTCCAAGTATGACACTAATCTCAGCTGGGAGATGTGGGGCACAAACTGAACAAAATACCTGGTGTAATTTACAAAACACTACTTTTAAAAAATCATTCAGACTAAACAATTTAAAAGGAACCACACATAGTAAGACTCGCAGATCTCACTAAACTATTAAAATATATTGTAAAAACACACAAAATATCCAAAGCCTTATTGAAGCTTTGTGACATATGAGAACAGACATTATTTTAGACATGCAATGTATGTGACATCAAAATGACTGCACTGAGGAAAAACTCTCTTGTTTGCCCAGTGGATGTGGCCCAAATTGAATGAGTTATAAATTATTAAGTTTGCACAGACATTTGAGTTTTGAGCTATGAACTGTTTGGGACTATAACCTGTCATACATGAAGCGTTTCATTCCATAACTCTATTTTGGATACAGTGAGTTTTTTAAAAGAATAACTGCTGATGTTTAATGGAAAACATGTGGTTAGTTCTCTAATGTGGGTGGTATTAATCATAATATAGCACTGATATTTCTTGAATGTGCAAAGCTCACTTCCAAGAGTGTATATAGAAAAAGAAAATTCTCAGAATTTCTCAGGGATAGGCTCCAGCACCCCCAGTGACCCAGAAGGATAAGCGGGTCAGATGATGATTAAGTGAAAGAATGAATTTACAAGAACTCATTAATCAACGAGAGACCAATCAGTTCTTTTTTTTTTTTTGTTTGAACTTCTTCTCATCTGACTGGCCTTCTGCAGAGCTGCGCCTTTTAATTTCCATAAGCATGTTGAGGAATTGAGGGATCTAAAATTGTGTTATAATCAACACTATTTTTCACTGACATTCACTTATTGTACACAACATTATGTGGTTAATACTGGTGTAAACTAGGCCTGTGATGATAGAAGAGATCAAATGACCTCATACATGCAGTGATGGGCAAAGTAACTTAACCATGAGACTAAACAGCCAATTACAAAACATTCACGTGCACAACTCAAAAACTCCTCCATCCTGAACTACAAGCCTGTAGAATTCATTAAATATTAGGACAGTTCTCACACTCAGTACACACTACAGTGTGTGTGAGGCAATAATTTCTACTGTCACAACAAACATATCTGATAACTAAACAAAAATAAATTAATATATAAATAAACAAACTGTTTCTCAGCCTTTTAGTGCACAAAAATGTGCTTGCAGTTCTGATGGAAGTAGCTGTTAGTAGTTGATTTCTTTTTATTTTGCACAGAAAATTTAGTTAGATTTCTGTTACCAACAACAAAAAAAGTCTGTACATGCGTCACATCTAGTCAGAGGCGCACTCAGGGACGCGGGAAGATGTTTTAAGATGGGTGTGCAGAAACTTTGGGCAGTGAATGTGACGTGACTGAGGACATCATGCAAAACGATTTAGCTTTTTCCATTTTATTTTATTTAATTATGCTCATTTACATCTAAATGAACGTCACACAGTGCTATAATGAGGAAAGAGACGACATTATATACACTGACGTATCAAACCCCTGATGTACATCCTTTCTCTGATTCTGTATGAACTAAACTGGCAATAAGATTATTGATATTTGGTGCGGTAACCGATGATGTCATGCCCATATTCTCATGGTGAGATTTAACACTGGAAGACACGCAGACCAGGAGATATAACTGATAAGACATTATTTTACATTAAATTATCATTTTAAAGTTTAAAAACAATATCAGGCTGCTTTGGGGCTCAGAACTGGTCTATAAGTCTGCACAGACTTTGAACCTCAACCTGTGTGTCTGAGTGACACAGAGAAGCACACATGGCTCTTTACTACGCTCAGATTATTATAAAGGTCAGACCGTTTTGTTAGGCCTATTATTATTTTTAACAGATGTGTAGATGGTTAAGAAACTGCCTCTATCTAAATATAATAGAACGCAGTCACCAAGTGTCAGTAACAGTCTGTATACCTTTACTAAAACAATAGAGAGGTGTCTGGTGTGCGGCGGCCTTTAGATTTTTTTCATCACAGTTTTTTCATCACTCAAGAAAAACAGCACTGTAGACAAATCAACATAAATAATCCTGGTCTTTCTCCTGACATATTTAACAAATGTTTCATCTAAAGCAAATTTGCAATGTTAAGTGAAACCAATGCTAGAAGTCTCATCCTGCAGCTCTTACTGGTAAATTATAGTGGTGTTTCTGATTCTTGTCTCAGTGTTGGGATTAAACCCTTTTCTCCTGAGTGCAGGACAAGCATGTTATCCACTATACAATCTAACCTTTATAAGCCTCCACTGATAGAAACGTTGGTGTCACCAGAAATAGAACAGCGCCATCCCATGGATTAAGACAGAAGAGCATTTTGGGTAATCTTATTTGTCTGACAAAGGGTTTAGCACACGTTAAAAGTCATTAAACAATAATTAATAATTAAAAAATAAAATATCAAAAATATGCAGCCTCTGTGTTGATAATGTTATTAACTCAAAATATTACAATTTTATACTGTATCAGTTTTTTTCCACACTCTTGGATTTAAAGTTGAGTTCTACTTTAACAGGATTTGTCAAAATTATGGCTGATTTCAGGTTAACCAAGCAAACAGATGGTCACACTCACCTCAGCTGGGAGATGTAGGGCAGACACTGAAGGAAACTCCTCACTTCACTCTCTTCATCTGACCAGCCACTCAGCTCTACTGGTTTCTTCTCTGTTTGGAGTTTCAGCACTTCTAGGAAGAGGGAGCTCTTTCCCCCTGAGAGGTTTATGATCCAGACTGCAGGAGCTGACTGGTAAACTGGCTGTAATGCTGGAAGAACAGTCCTGCCTGTTTGAGTCTCATAGTTCTTCACATGAGAGAACAGATCCAGCAGGAAATCACACAGAGCGCCATTAACATCATCTTCATCCTCATAATCATAGTCATTCTTATTAAAAGGGAAGTCTCTCTCTCTGCACATAGACGTCAGCAGCTCAATGAAACTCTGTTTTGTATCTGTATCACACTCTGATACTTTGGCACTCAGACTCAGCAGAAACTTCAAGACTGACATTTTCACTTCAGGCTCCTCAAAGAATCTGTTAAAATACAGAAATACACACAAAATGAAACAGGAACAGAGACAGAGCAGACATACTGAAATGAAAGAAACAGTTAAACCTCCAACTGGGTTAATGGGACAGTGTATTTTAAAGTACTCGTTCTTGAGGCATGCTCATCCTGGCCTTGAATCAACTGTAAATTCAGAAGGAACACTGGAAAGCTGAACCAAGGATTCTGATTAAAAGTCAACTCTATAAAACAGTGAATGTTTGTGATTCCTTTTTGAGATGTGTGATAATAATCTTAATTCTACTCTTTAAAAAAGCACTTTGTCAGAGTCATGATGTAAAGAAACTGAGAGGTAAATGACAGCTTGGAACAGAAAATATCAGACTGCACATAAACATGGATACAAATATACATAAAAAGAGGCTCCACATCTTCCATCTTATACTACCGGCCTTAGTCCTGTGATGAGTTGTGTTGTCGAAGCCTCCTTTCCTCAAGTGATTTTACATGAAATGAATGTTGCGTGTTTGACGTCCCCATTTAAGAATGACAGAAAAATAACAGGACTTGCTAACAAATAGTCTTGATCAAGTGCCCAGATATACAAACAAACATGCAGAAAAACACATATTTTGCCAAACAATCATTATAAGCATTAAATATTTTGGTACAGATATATTGAGATATTGAACTATTTTACTTTAGAACCTTTGAGGGATGGATTCTTCAAACAGTGCATACATTAACTAGCTTAGCCAAATCTGTAATCCAAGCAGTTTTTTTTTTTCAAAAATCCTAGTGTAATTAATGTCAAGTTTATTTATACAGCACACTGATAAACAGCAACAGCCAGCTGTGCTGTAAAACAAAGCAAAAAAGTCCAAACAGAATTGGGACCATAAATAAAATACAAAATAAAACAACAAATAGTAGCTAAAACTGCCAAAATCAAAATACAAAAGACGCCAAGGAGCCAAGATCTAAAAGTGCTATTTAAAGAGCAGGAGAGGACCTGAAAAAAGGAGCCACAGTGTTGAGGAAAACAGAGAAAGCATGATCCCCTTTAGACCCCAATCTGACAGTGGAATATTTACAAGGAAAGTTTGTTAGAGGACCAAATACTGCCCTCTCCTGGCCAGTCAGGAACACTGTGGCTGCATTCTGAACCAGTATAAGGTGTGAAATTGATGACTGACTGATTCTCATGTAAAGAGAATTACAGCAGCCTAGCTGGAATAACATGAACACATGGATAACCACTTACATACCACTTAAGTCCTTAAATAAGAGGAACATGATTAGTTTCTTTGTCTGACTTGAGCTTCAGGTTTAGAAAGAGAATTGTGGTGCACTGCCCTTCTTTTTTGTTGGGCTTTATGCCCACTCACAACAGTTAAATATTATAGTTCTGAAGTTTTTATTATGTGTTTATATATATGTAATTGCTCTGGCTTATAAACAGCCTCGTCTGCTATGTTTGATTTTTTTTTTTTTTTTAAGATTGAAATGGGTCTTTCACCAGTTTGCAGTGGTTCCTGGACAAAGGTCATCTAACAGACTTCACTTAAGCTAATGATCAAGATGGTTTCAGGTATTCCCTCAAAGGGAAATGATGAGTGCAAGACAATGAGGGAATGTTAAAACAGAATTGAAATGGACGGTTGGTTCTCATCTATTCCCAAGTCACTATCTAGCACCAGCATCAAATCCAGACTGGAATTCCATAGACAGTTTAATTTTACAGGAAAACATAAAGATACAGAAAGAAACAGGAAGTGCAGCTACTTTTCTATTCACTCACTTGAATATTTCTTACACACACTTCTTCTGCACATACATACCAGAACACAGCTTAGTAAACAAAGTGTGTCATACAGCAACACCCAGTGGAGAGATGGAGGAACCATATAGTATTTAACAGTAGAACCAAAAACACAACAATTTTTACACGTCTGTATTCGACATAGTGGAAGCCATTGTAGTAGGAAAACATTACAGCAGCGGCGACGTTTACGAATGAGAACGTAGACTCACTTTATTTTCTTATTACTGTATTTTTCTGTGAAAGACTTCAGTCAGTCAGTGGAACAGTTTTCACTTTCAGAGAGGAGCAAGTTTAACAAGGTCTACATCAGGGGCATCACTGGAGATTTATGCATGGGGGCCTAAGGCTTCACTGGGTGGGGGGGGGGTCTGTGGGGATGTTCTCCCAAGAGTTTTAATGGACCCAAAATGTATGTTTGCCATGAATTTAGCTTTGTTCTCTCGATCTCCTCGCCTTTGTTTGGTAACACAATTTTTTTTATTTAATAAACTCAGATATACAAGACATCAGGGCTTAATGAGAGATCGATCTGTTAAATTTTTATTTGAACTGCCATCTTCTAACCTGACTGACTTTCTGCGGAGCTGCTGACTCTCAAAGAAATTTGCATGTCCATCTACAGGCTGAGGAATTGAGGGATATAAATTATGTTATGATCAACACTATGTGATCTTTTCATTGACATTAACTTACATTAAACACTGTCTGTGGCTACTAAAGATATGACTTGCAGTGACTGTTTCAAACACTGAAGACAAATATGAAAACAAAGTCATCAATAATATTATTTATTACATTATTAACGACATGGAAAATTTCCAACAAATTCCTTAATAAGGACATGAAAAAAGTGAGTCCTCTACATCAGCAAAAATATAAAGGACTTTGTCTACGTTACCATTTGTAAACACCTCTGCTGTTATGATGACTTTCAATGCATCAAATACAGACGCGTCAGAATTGTCTATCCACACTTTTTGTAAAATAAATAAAATAATGATTCCTCCAATGTAACTGTCTGAACGTTTGCATTATTTATATCTTCACATAACAAAGCTTATACCAGGTATAACAGCAGTTAGCAGCACCACCAACCTCACAACTTCATGAAAATCCAGTAACTCCACATGTTGGTACAGCTAATTCAATCAGAAATTAATTTGTAATACTGTAATAAGTACATTGTAATAGGCGAGTAGCTACAAATTTGGGTTTTCAGCAGGAAGTGAACACACAGCTAAATGGCATGAATTCCATTTCCATCATCATCCAGTATGTACTGTATGTGTCTGTTGCAACTTTCTTCAAGATTTATTTTGTCTTACTGAATTTTGGGTCTGCCTTTGATACATGGAAGTGTGTTTTCACTCTCTCACATTCATGAAAAGCAAATGCTTATTTATTACACTTCACATCACAGACACTCTGTGTTGCATGATGCTACACTCAGCCAAGAATTCAGCAAAGACCCCCACTGTAAACTGTGTTGAGTTAGCTGTTAAAACAGACTCTGAACTGCCGTGTCTACTGAAAGATGGCGGAGAGGAAAAAGATGACATCTTTTCTAGTTTTGTTTGCCAGGAAGCCAACCTTGAGCTACTAACACTAATAATGAACTAAAACGATGGCATATCAGCAAAGCCATGCACTTGTTTCAGAGGGTGCTACGATGTCAATGGCCAGCTTTTGCTATAGTTTTTCAGGCAAGGACACTGGATAGAGGAGAGCAGGAGGAGGCACTCAAGTTTGGTCATTAGACTGACAGCAATTACATGACTTAATAGTGGGTTTAAACAGTAGCTGTCGGCTCATGTAAAGCTCGTCTGTACTGTACTGCTGCTTCATTTGGACCCTTACTGTGTTTACTAACGACAACTGTCATAGTGGCCTTATGACCCTTTTAACTGATTCTCTTAACCTAATCTAAAGAACTATAGGACATCCTAAGGTAGTCGTGGCATAAAATCTGGGCTAAACATTAAAAGGAGGTGGCACATTAGCTGTGAGGATGAGTGAGGAAGCCTATGTGGTACCTCATTGCCTCAGACTAGTGTAAACAATGGCGATAACTTACAATTATTTTGTTATTTATGTTGTATTTATGCATATGTGTATAGCACTAAAGCCTGATTCTTCATGCTACTTAATTTAAACACATAAATAAAGGAAAAACTGACAAGAACATCTGTGGTGTACAGTTAGATTACAATCATGACAATGAGGTGATCTAAAACAGCTCAGATGGGTCTTTATTATTAGACTGAAGACAGCCTGAAATGAATGGTCCTCTTGTGACTCAAAGTTACAAGCTACTCCATGTAAGCTCTGTTTAGGTCCCGTAAGGCTCCAGATATTTCACAGACTACAGACTGACCATTGATGCTATCCACTGATTTTGTATTAACATGCTGTAATAGCGATATTTGTACAGACTATTTCTCTGTGAATTCTACACCATATTCTGTTTGGTCATCTACCTGCTATTTCATTAACAAATAAATAAATACATTTCCTTCACTGCCCAGGTGGCCTTGGCACATGTGTTCAGCATCTGTTTCAGAGCAAGTCTGTCTTTACAGATCTCTCTGCATACTGTATTTACTTAGTGTTACAGTGCCAGCTGTGAGGAAAGGAAAGGCTCAGCAGTGCATGAACTCTGCAGTACAGTCAACAAAACTTCTGAGAACCTGATTAGATAAATATCAGATCTAAACCAGTAATGCCACCAGGACTGCTATTTTTGGCATCGTTCACTGAAGTAAGAAAACCACCTGCAGTTGGAGACTTGGGCTTGCTACTTGACCCAAACACATCATATTCAAGCTCATGACAGAAAAATACTGACTGAAATCATTGCTTCCTTTACACGTGAGAGCAGTAATGTCCAACATAACCTTACTATGCTGGCGATGTCCAGCATTTATGTCTTGGTTTAAAGTGCTGTGAACAGGGTTGGACAAAATACTTGAACAAGTAGTGATGGCTGAATACTGAATACACTGTCCTAAATGTATACAGTATCATATTCAGTTACAACACACAAAAAGGTAACATTTACAGTACATCCTGGTAAGGCTCATGGGAAAAACATTTATTTATTTATTTATTTTTACTTGTTTTACTGTTCCTCACTGTTACTGTTTTCTTCATTATCCTCTTACTACTGTAGTGTGGGGGGTGCAACTCAAAGTTCATGTGCACAGCGAAGCTTTACGATGGACTCAGATTACAAGAAAAAAAACTTGCTCTGTGACTCAGCTCATGTCTCTTCCTTCCTCTCTCTCTCTCTCTCTCTCTCTGCACACACAGCCCAGGGGTTGTTCCCAGATGTCCCCTCATCTGATTTTTTGACCCACTTGCAACCCCCCTTTAAAACTGATCTGGACATCACTGGTGCTGCTAGAACTGAAGTAGAACTTCCTGAGAGTGGTGCTTTGCATTAATGACACTGTGTCCATGTTACTTTGTCCAGCGTTCAGCTGTCCAGTGATGTTGCGTTAGCAGCAGTTCGAAAAGATGCGGTGGTGCTTCACAGGTCTCAGAGGAAGCCTGGGCTAGCCTTCACCCTCCTAGCATTGGTAGTATCGTGTGATTGGGGGAGTCCTAACTAGTGGGTAGAATTGGAGACAACTAAATTGGGGAGAAAATTGGGTAAAAATTATAAAAAATAAATAAATAAATAAAAAATAAAAAAGAGAGTCATCCTTGTGGAATCCACAGGCCTGAGTTAAACCCAACGTTAGCCTGCTAACCTGTAATCCTGCTTCATGGTGCCCCTCTGTAGTACTTACAAAGACTTCACACTCACCTCAGCTGGGAGATGTAGGGCAGACACTGAAGGAAACTCCTCACTTCACTCTCTTCATCTGGCCAGCCCCACAGCTCTACTGGTTTCTTCACTGTTTGGAGTTTCAGCACTTCTAGGAAGAGGGAGCTCTTTCTCTCTGAGAGGTTTATGATCCAGACTGCAGGAGCTGACTGGTAAACTGGCTGTAATGCTGGAAGAACACTCCTGTCTGTCTGAGTCTCATAGTTCTTCACATGAGAGAACAGATCCAGCAGGAAATCACACAGAGCGCCATTAACATCATCTTCATCCTCATAATCATAGTCATTCTTATTAAAAGGGAAGTCTCTCTCTCTGCACATAGACGTCAGCAGCTCAATGAAACTCTGTTTTGTAGCTGTATCACACTCTGATACTTTGGCACTCAGACTCAGCAGAAACTTCAAGACTGACATTTTCTCTTCAGGCTCCTCAAAGAATCTGTTAAAATACAGAAATACACACAAAATGAAACAGGAACAGAGACAGAGCAGACATACTGAAATGAAAGAAACAGTTTAGAAAATTCAAAAACATGTACTGACAGCACAAAATTACAAATGAACAAAGATAAGTATCTTCACATAAAACACACAATGAAAGAAATCTATATATTGAGGTATTTATCTTAAAATACTGAAAAGTTCAAACCATATGCAGATGTTACAGCGTCCCTAAACTGTGAAATGAATCAAATACTAACTGAACCTCCAACTGGGTTAATGGGACAGTGTATTTTAAAGTACTCGTTCTTGAGGCATGCTCACCCTGGCCTTGAATCAACTGTAAATTCAGAAGGAACACTGGAAAGCTGAACCAAGGATTCTGATTAAAAGTCAACTCTATAAAACAGTGAATGTTTGTGATTCCTTTTTGTGATGTGTGATAATAATCTTAATTCTACTCTTTAAAAAAGCACTTTGTCAGAGTCATGATGTAAAGAAACTGAGAGGTAAATGACAGCTTGGAATAGAAAATATCAGACTTCACATAAACATGGATACAAATATACATAAAAAGAGGTTCCACATCTTCCATCTTATACTACCGGCCTTAGTCCTGTGATGAGTTGTGTTGTCGAAGCCTCCTTTCCTCAAGTGATTTTACACTAAATGAATGTTGCGTGTTTGACGTCCCCATTTAAGAATGACAGAAAAATAACAGGACTTGCTAACAAATAGTCTTGATCAAGTGCCCAGATATACAAACAAACATGCAGAAAAACACATATTTTGCCAAACAGTCATTATAAGCATTAAATATTTTGGTACAGTTATACTGAGATATTGAACTATTTTATTTTAGAACCTTTGAGGGGTGGATTCTTCAAACAGTGCATACATTAACTAGCTTAGCCAAATCTGTAATCCAAGCAGTTTTTTTTTTCAAAAATCCTAGTGTAATTAATGTCAAGTTTATTTATACAGCACACTGATAAACAGCAACAGCCAGCTGTGCTGTAAAACAAAGCAAAAAAGTCCAAACAGAATTGCAACCATAAATAAAATACAAAATAAAACAACAAATAGTAGCTAAAACTGCCAAAATCAAAATACAAAAGACGCCAAGGAGCCAAGATCTAAAAGTGGTATTTAAAGAGCAGGAGAGGACCTGACAAAAAGGAGCAAACAGTTCCACAGTGTTGAGGAAAACAGAGAAAGCATGATCCCCTTTAGACCCCAATCTGACAGTGGAATATTTACAAGGAAAGTTTGTTAGAGGACCAAATACTGCCCTCTCCTGGCCAGTCAGGAACACTGTGGCTGCATTCTGAACCAGTATAAGGTGTGAAATTGATGACTGACTGATTCTCATGTAAAGAGAATTACAGCAGCCTAGCTGGAATAACATGAACACATGGATAACCACTTACGTACCACTTAAGGTCTGTATTTGACACAGTGGAAGCCATTGTAGTAGGAAAACATTACAGCAGCGGCGACGTTTACGAATGAGAACGTAGACTCACTTTATTTTCTTATTACTGTATTTTTCTGTGAAAGACTTCATTCAGTCAGTGCAACAGCTTTCACTTTCAGAGAGGAGCAAGCTTAACAAGGTCTACATCAGGGGCATCACTGGAGATTTATGGAAGGGGGCCTAAGGCTTCACTGGGGTTGGGGGAGGGGGTCTGTGGGGATGTTTTCTCAAGAGTTAATGGACCCAAAATGTATGTTTGCCATGAATTTAGCTTTGTTCTCTCGATCTCCTCGCCTATGTTTGGTAACACAATTTTTTTTATTTAATAAACTCAGATGTATAAGACATCAGGGCTTAATGAGAGATCGATCTGTTAAATTTTTATTTGAACTGCCATCTTCTAACCTGACTGACTTTCTGCGGAGCTGCTGACTCTCAAAGAAATTTGTATGTCCATTTACAGGCTGAGGAATTGAGGGATATAAATTATGTTACGATCAACACTATGTGATCTTTTCATTGACATTAACTTACTTTAAACACCGTCTGTGGCTACTACTGATATGACTTGCAGTGATTGTTTCAAACACTGAAGACAAATATGAAAACAAAGTCATCAATAACATTATTTATTACATTATTAACGACATGGAAAAATTCAACAAATTCCTTAATAAGGACATGAAAAAAGTGAGTCCTCTACATCAGCAAAAATATAAAGGACTTTGTCTACATTACCATTTGTAAACACCTCTGCTGCTATGATGACTTTCAATGCATCAAATACAGAAGCGTCAGAATTGTCTATCCACACTTTTTGTAAAATAAATAAATAAAATAATGATTCCTCCAATGAAACTGTCTCAACGTTCGCACAGAAAGTTTGCATTTTTTATATCTTCACATAACAAAGCTTATACCAGGTATAACAGCAGTTAGCAGCACCACCAACCTCACAACTTCATGAAAATCCAGTAACTCCACATGTTGGTACAGCTAATTCAATCAGAAATTAATTTGTAATACTGTAATAAGTACATTGTAAAAGGCGAGTAGCTACAAATTTGGGTTTTCAGCAGGAGGTGAACACAAAGCTAAATGGCATGAATTCCATTTCCCACCATCATCCAGTATGTACTGTATGTGTTTGCTGCAACTTTCTTGAAGATATTTTTGTCTTACTGAATTTTGGGTCTGCCTTTGATACATGGAAGTGTGTTTTCACTCTCTCACATTCATGAAAAGCAAATGCTTATTTATTACACTTCACATCAAAGACACTCTGTGTTGCATGATGCTACACTCAGCCAAGAATTCAGCAAAGACCCCCACTGTAAACTGTGTTGAGTTAGCTGTTAAAACAGACTCTGAGCTGCCGTGTCTACTGAAAGATGGCGGAGAGGAAAAAGATGACATCTTTTCTAGTTTTGTTTGCCAGGAAGCCAACCTTGAGCTACTAACACTAATAATGAACTTAAATGATGGCATATCAGCAAAGCCATGCACATGTTTCAGAGGGTGCTACGATGTCAGTGGCCAGCTTTTGCTATAGTTTTTCAGGCAAGGACACTGGATAGAGGAGAGCAGGAAGAGGCACTCAAGTTTGGTCATTAGACTGACAGCAATTACATGACTTAATAGTGGGTTTAAACAGTAGCTGTCGGCTCATGTAAAGCTCGTCTGTACTGTACTGCTGCTTCATTTGGACCCTTACTGTGTTTACTAACGACAACTGTCATAGTGGCCTTATGACCCTTTTAACTGATTCTCTTAACCTAATCTAAAGAACTCTGAAGGACGAGTGAGGAAGCCTATGTGGTACCTCACTGCCTCAGACTAGTGTAAACAATGGCGATAACTTACAATTATTTTGTTATTTATGTTGTATTTATGCATATGTGTATAGCACTAAAGCCTGATTCTTCATGCTACTTAATTTAAACACATAAATAAAGGAAAAACTGACAAGAACATCTGTGGTGTACAGTTAGATTACAATCATGACAATGAGGTGATCTAAAACAGCTCAGATGGGTCTTTATTATTAGACTGAAGACAGCCTGAAATGAATGGTCCTCTTGTGACTCAAAGTTACAAGCTACTCCATGTAAGCTCTGTTTAGGTCCCGTAAGGCTCCAGATATTTCACAGACTACAGACTGACCATTGATGCTATCCACTGATTTTGTATTAACATGCTGTAATAGCGATATTTGTACAGACTATTTCTCTGTGAATTCTACACCATATTCTGTTTGGTCATCTACGCTATTTCATTAACAAATAAATAAATACATTTCCTTCACTGCCCAGGTGGCCTTGGCACATGTGTTCAGCATCTGTTTCAGAGCAAGTCTGTCTTTATAGATCTCTCTGCATACTGTATTTACTTAGTGTTACAGTGCCAGCTGTGAGGAAAGGAAAGGCTCAGCAGTGCATGAACTCTGCAGTACAGTCAACAAAACTTCTGAGAACCTGATTAGATAAATATCAGATCTAAACCAGTAATGCCACCAGGACTGCTGTTTTTGGCATCGTTCACTGAAGTAAGAAAACCACCTGCAGTTGGAGACTTGGGCTTGCTACTTGACCCAAACACATCATATTCAAGCTCATGACAGAAAAATACTGACTGAAATCATTGCTTCCTTTACACGTGAGAGCAGTAATGTCCAACATAACCTTACTATGCTGGCGATGTCCAGCATTTATGTCTTGGTTTAAAGTGCTGTGAACAGGGTTGGACAAAATACTTGAACAAGTAGTGATGGCTGAATACTGAATACACTGTCCTAAATGTATACAGTATCATATTCAGTTACAACACACAAAAAGGTAACATTTACAGTACATCCTGGTAAGGCTCATGGGAAAAACATTTATTTATTTATTTATTTTTACTTGTTTTACTGTTCCTCACTGTTACTGTTTTCTTCATTATCCTCTTACTACTGTAGTGTGGGGGGTGCAACTCAAAGTTCATGTGCACAGCGAAGCTTTACGATGGACTCAGATTACAAGAAAAAAAACTTGCTCTGTAACTCAGCTCATGTCTCTTCCTTCCTCTCTCTCTCTCTCTCTCTCTCTCTCTCTCTCTCTGCACACACAGCCCAGGGGTTGTTCCCAGATGTCCCCTCATCTGATTTTTTGACCCACTTGCAACCCCCCTTTAAAACTGATCTGGACATCACTGGTGCTGCTAGAACTGAAGTAGAACTTCCTGAGAGTGGTGCTTTGCATTAATGACACTGTGTCCATGTTACTTTGTCCAGCGTTCAGCTGTCCAGTGATGTTGCGTTAGCAGCAGTTCGAAAAGATGCGGTGGTGCTTCACAGGTCTCAGAGGAAGCCTGGGCTAGCCTTCACCCTCCTAGCATTGGTAGTATCGTGTGATTGGGGGAGTCCTAACTAGTGGGTAGAATTGGAGACAACTAAATTGGGGAGAAAATTGGGTAAAAATTATAAAAAATAAATAAATAAATAAAAAATAAAAAAGAGAGTCATCCTTGTGGAATCCACAGGCCTGAGTTAAACCCAACGTTAGCCTGCTAACCTGTAATCCTGCTTCATGGTGCCCCTCTGTAGTACTTACAAAGACTTCACACTCACCTCAGCTGGGAGATGTAGGGCAGACACTGAAGGAAACTCCTCACTTCACTCTCTTCATCTGGCCAGCCCCACAGCTCTACTGGTTTCTTCACTGTTTGGAGTTTCAGCACTTCTAGGAAGAGGGAGCTCTTTCTCTCTGAGAGGTTTATGATCCACTCTGCAGGAGCTGACTGGTAAACTGGCTGTAATGCTGGAAGAACACTCCTGTCTGTCTGAGTCTCATAGTTCTTCACATACGAGTACAGATCCAGCATGAAATTCCACTGAGAGTGAGGATCATCTTCATGAAAAGGGAAGGTTGGGTAGCTGCACACAGATGTCAGCAGTTCAGTGAATCTCTCTCCTGTAGCTGAGTCACTCTCTGCTGCTGCTGCTACACTCAGATTCAGCAGAAAATGAAACGCAGACTTTTTCTTTTGTTCTTCATGTGAAACAGACCAACAAAATCTGTACAAAAAAAAAGAAAAATGAGAAGAATTAAGTCAGTAAGTTTAATATAAATGTCAGTTTTCTATTGAAAACAACAAATTATATTTCATGGTTTGATGGTTTCTGCAAAAATGTATATAATGTCCTGGAAACACTGGTATTAGTTCAGGAAAGTGTAAAGTTGGTATATTAATTTTAAAAACTTTGTTTTATAGCCACCACACAATAAATAAAATGCCTTGTATGAGAATAAAGTTGTTTATAAATAATATTACAGGGTGCAAGACTCTGACATGTGTAGCCTCAGTTTGTTACAGTGCTCATCTGTCCACATGTGACTCTGCAGCATTTCGAACTACAAAAGGTTTGAAGAGACACTCAGTCAGTAATATTTCCAGCACAACTAATTTGTAATTTCTAATTTTCCAGAGGTTTTTTCAGTGATGATATCTAATAATAATTAGCACAATATTTTCCTGTTAAAAACTATAATCACTGATTACATCACCCCCTCAAGACCTCCACAAACACACACACTGTCACTGCAGCTGCAGCTAAGAAAGTTTTCATTGCTGTCTTTAGGCTACATTCACATTACCAGGTTGAAGTGGCACAAATCAGATTTTTTGCCCTAATGCGACTCAGATCTGATGTTTTCAGGGCTGTGTGGACACGCAAATCTGATCTTTTCAAATCCGACCTGAGCCACTTTCATATGTGGTCCTAGATCGGATGCGTATCTGATTCGTTACCTTAATGTGACGCTCAGATCGGAATTCATGTGCTTGTTTTCCACTGTGCGTGCGCCATCATTCAGCGTTACCATGGCAGCAGCGCTGAACAGAAGTTAAAGCCTGTAAACAGTGGAAAAGCAACACATCTCTCCTTTTTCTCCTTCGTCTCGCTCAAATAATGAAGCTGAGAGCTGATCAGAGTTAATTATCTTCTCAGCGAAGCTCGTTCTGCTCGTTAGTTTGTGCCGATGATTCATGTGATTCATTCACGTGACATTACTGAGTAGGATGTGCGCATGCCGGTCATTTCAGGACGCTGGTTCGTTCACATTAATGACAGATTTTAATCACCCAAACGAGTGTGAATCATCGTGCCAGAGAGATCGGATTTGAGCAAAATATCAGATTTGAGAAATGAGGCTTGTAAGATGAACGTAGCTTTAGCCTATATGCTCTTTATCATCACCTGATCTATTGAAAATCACATGTCGACATGTTTTAGTGATAAACCTCGTCTTAAAGCTGAAAGTAATTGCAAACATGACTGCGAATGTGCATTTGTGAGCTCTGTGGGATCATGACTGTTTCTTATTCACACAAAAGAGATTTTCATGCCACTGACTCCCCTCACTGGAGAATTTTCAGACTCCAGAGTCCTAAAGCCAGATTTATATGCTTTACATATTTAAAGACATACACTTTTTTATATTTCATCATTATAGTGGAGACACTAAGGAATTCAGTTGTAGATGCCTGTGGAAGTATTATAGTTTCTAATTTTTTACAACTCATCTGAAAAGCTAAAACACATTTCCTGAAATCCTACTGGTTTTTATCAAAACCTTGAACAGAATCTCAAAACTCTGTTCCAAAGTAAATTCATTAAAATGCATCTGTTTGGAAAAAAGCAAACAATTGCATCCAAAGCAGCTTAACTTCGTTCATAATGAAGCACTGCTTTCAACACACAAATGCACACACACACACGCATAAAATATATATATATATATATATATATATATATATATATATATATATATATATATATATTAAATTGTAGACACTACTCATTATCAACTAATGCTACTGCAATCAGTTGAAAACATTTTTGAATGAACATGGCATGAATGAACCTGTAACAATTTCACAAAGATAAAAAGGATACATATGCAGGTACATAAATATGGGAGGCAAATCCAGCCAAAAAAAAAAATAAAAATGTAAACAATAAAATGTAAATGCAAACCTCTTTTTGCCGTTTCTTTTTCCAAACATCTACGCAAATATCCTGCCAAAATTGAAAATGAAATGAAATTCCTACATTTTTCACATAAGCACAAGTCTTTTGGGACAAAAATAAAAATAAATGTAAAGCAGCTATATATCATTTCATTTTAGTCATTATTCTGGTATTTCATATCTACATCCACATATAAAATGAAAAACTAATAGAGATAATAGCTTCACTTTGGACACTGTGTCTCCGCCCTCTAACGCTCACACACACATTCTCTAAACAGCGCACACATTTAGCAGCTGCTGTCGCTGGACTAATAAAAAAGCAGACAGGCAGACTAAAGACAATAGAAAGACATTTTATATAAACTTACTGAATTATTAATTGATGGCTTTATTATTTGTGTTTTAGTGTTATTTGTGGTTTTTAATCTATTATTGTGATACAAAATATACACCACACTTTCAAAAATGTAAAAAAAGAACATCAGACAAAAGAAGGTATTTTTGAAGCATTTACAATGTGTTGTTTGAATAAACAAATAAACAAAATAAATATAATATAATCTAACAATGCATGATTGGATCTCTCATCTCCACTTGGGCACAGAAAGTGATCTACATCACATAGTGTGCTGTCGAGCCAAACGGTGTTCTAAAAATCTTCTACAATCATCTAGAACGTGTTCTCCAGTTCTGACAGTTCCTGACTCTGATGTTCCTGAATGCTTCCTCCATAACGTGAAGCAGGTGATCTACTGATGAGGTTCTGGTTCTTTTGCTGATAGATCTTCAAAATCAACAGAGAAAAACTTAATTTGGATTTAGAAACAGTGAAGATGGTGAAGATGGTCGGAGGTGAAAATCAGAGCCTTAGTTGGTTCTGGAATGAAGCTTGAATGACTTCAACAGGGTCACAGGGGCTCAACACAGAGCAGAGACGTCTACTGTTCCTCTCCTCCTCTGTCCCTACACTCCTCTTCTTCCTCTCTTCCATTTTCAGCTTCATCATACAGCAGGTAGCAGTGCAGTAACTGTAGCTGCTGTGTCTGCTGCTGGTTTGAAGCTCATTGGCTGAATGCTGGCATGTTTAGTCAGTTCATACATAAAGTAAAACATGCATTCATGCCTTATACATTATTAGATACTCATCTATTTATTTGCATTATATTCTTTACGTATTTTGATATATGAGAAATGACACAAAACAAAATTTATTTTGACCTCTTTCTCTCACTAAGACAGAGGGGGGAGAAAATCTCTGTAATGTTTGTTGCTGCAGTCTCAGCATTTTATGCATTTTCTGCCTTCATCTTTGAAAAAGATTTCGTGACAGAGTGGTTAGAGGTGCAGAACTGTGGTCAGTGTTCTGTAAAAAGTGTGTAAGCAGTTTGTAATAAGAAAGAAATGCAGTGAAATGTGTTCAAAGTTTTGCTAGACTGATACAAGTAAAAACTCCTGAGCGTCAGATATTCTGAATTGTGTGCCAGTGTGAAATAACAGTGTGTAAGCAATCAAGTAAATAAAAAATGTAATATAAATCAAGTAAATAATACATTCATCAGTCAGAGAGTAAACAGTGTAGGTCTGATAAAATATTTCTTTCAATATTTTTTTCAAAATGCTCAAATATTTTTTATTCTCACTCAAAGATGCAGTGACATACTGGAATATCCAGGAGCACAGAAAGACAGAAATACAGTGATGTGAATGATGTGTTTTCCTCTCTGATCATCCTGATTATTAAAGCAGTTCAGATTTACTGCACTCTGTGTCAGACTTTTCTCATTGTCCTACCATGAAGAAGAAGGTTGTTGATAACTGCTCATCTGTAACACGCTGTCTTGTTCATCCTCTTCTTTCTACTGTTTCATCCATTTCATTCCAAATAGTTCTTTTTTATATTTTCAGACTGCTTTACACTTTTCTCAGTATTTCACTGCACCTTTAGAAATATATTAACAATTAAGCTTTCTAGTCTGTAAATCATGACAGTTGTATTTCATCAATGTTTAATTACAGTAAACAGAGTATTTAATGGCAGTGCTGTCTGTAGTAAGTATACCATGCTTTGTAATGAAACCTCTGTTTACTGTTATATAAAATGAGTTTAGGAGTTTCACAGTTTGAGTTTTCTTTTCAGTAAATGATAACAGGGTTGGGGAACTGTATTTAGATTATTAGTTTTTGTGTGTGACTGAAAAACAGTAGAAAATTACAGAAAAGGCTTAGAATTTTCCTCAGATGGTACGTTGCATTTTGAGAAACCTCAGACAGAGACAGAGGAGAATTTACTCTACTATAGCAGATTATAAATGGCCTGTAATAATTCATAATTTTATCAGTAAACAATAAATCATTACATGCACATATTTTTACTGTTATTTAGCAAGTTGTTTAAAATTCTGTCAGTTCTCTTTTCCACCAGGACAATTACCATCTTTGAAGCACTATCATCAGGTCTAAAAACTAGTCTATACATTTCCAAGTTTTCCAGATTGTGCAGGAATCCTGATGTGTTGTACTGATGGGCTCTTTCTGGATGCAAGAATGCAATAATAAAGCTGGATACTGACTCGAGGAACAGGTCAGAAAATTCAAACTTTACTGAGAATCCAAAATAGCAGTAGCAAGCTTGTGTGTACTCATATGAGCACTGATGGCTTTTTCTGGACTGACCAGTTGCACCCAAGAAAAGGAAAAAACACTTAGACTGATGTCAGAGCTAGAGTGACCCTGGTTTTTAGACCAGGAGTTAGATGATTCAGGCTAATCCATCTCAGACTCGAGCTGTATTTTCTCTGCTACACTCATACACACACACACACACACACACACACACAACATTGCTTTCTTCTCAAAAAAAAAAAAAAATTCGGAGAGATCGAGCACTGTGTTTAAATTAGGTCAGATAACAGCTTTTTTTTTTTTGCAAAATCTGGGTCTTCATCTTTGTGTGCTAATGATGGGATAACCAAGCTGGCCAGATAGTGATACCATAAAATCTGGAGAAAGCTCTGTCTTAAATGTAACAATCATGACAGCTAG